AACATATATATATATATATATATATATATATATATCTTACGTCAGCTGGTGACAGGCGAAGGCGAAGCAACTCCACCATGACACCGCGTTTCACCTGTGTTGCGTTATGACCTAACGCCTCTCATCCGAATTCCATCCACTCGAGTGAAATCTTCCTTTCTAGGCGTATAATCGAATCATTGTCACTTCAACTGACTTTACCTCTAACAATCGTCCAGTTCTGTCTCTCTTTTATTTTCAGAAGGTAGATTTTCCGAAGAAGAGTCGCAATGGGAGGAATGGGGTTTGTGTCGATTTTCAACTGCAGGCAGAAGGGTGAGAAACGTATTTTCAACATATGTAATTCTATGTTTGTGTTGAATCGTAAAATTTCCAAACATGTGATCAAGGCAGTGTTCGGGCGGGAGTAAACACCTTCTTTAGGTTAGAGTTCGGCAAAGGAAATGCATGAATTGTGAAGATTTACAAATGGATCCGTGCTAGCGGTACGACTGTTTATGAGTGGAGTAGTTCTATTAGTGTCGAATGATCTAATAAAGTTATATCAATTACAGAGCGAAGTGTATCCAGTGAACACGAATATATATTCACTGGAACTAAAATGGGTAATCATCTCCAAATATGTATGTAAAGAAAAGCGAGAATACAAACTGGCTGTTAAACGGTGCTGGATGCAGGAACGGTGTAAAAATCTCTGATTCCTCTGAAGTTAAACGCCATGTCAAGGACGGCTCACTCTTTTGACTTCGGTAGACTTCATAACGAGGAAGGATGATACGATAGTCGTCAGTGCACCTTACTATCTCGAAAGCCCTAGTGGTCTTAGAAGGATAGGTCATTAGTCGTCACATGCTGTGTAGGTACTAACTAAATACAAGGAATGCAAAGAGAAAACACTTGACTGAAAATCATCGATACCTAATACATAGGTGAGGAGCCCTGTTCCGGAAAATATTTTCTGACTTTGCAGATTTTGTTGTCCTTGAGCTGCTGATTTCACAGAGAGAAATTCTGCATTTTACAGGATGTGAGAAGCAGTTAGCTGATTTACAAAGATTGTGGTAATGACGAACTGAAGGATTTTCAACAATATATCATCGCAAGATCAAAAGAGAGCAATGTAGAGTAATCACAGCTTTTATCGGGCCGTTACCAAGGACGATGATTCAAGACGATTGTAGGGGGTAGGTCTGCATTAGGCTCACCATCAGTTTCAGAGACCATCCAGACAATGACATCCAGCGATTTACACCCATGTTTTGCTTTTGTGCGAAATATTCTGAAGGTGGCAATCGCTAAAGATCCTCTAGTTTGTAAATAATACTTTTAAGGCATTTTCATAACGCTATATTTTCACTAAGATATTTGTTAAGAAGTACGAGCTTTGATCGTAAATAATGTAGCACGTAACAGTGCATTATGAAATAAAGAGTAGAAGGGTGTGATTCCCATCGAGCACTGCTATGAAGAATGAATCAAGGATGATGGCTCCCGTAGTTCGACAATTTCATAAAATGATTGCCAGAATATAGCGGTGAAGAACAGCAACATTTCACGCTATCTATTTTAGCATGAGCGGATGCTTCTATAGTTACTAGAATGGTGGATCGCTGAATGACTGAAGCTTTCTTGCCCTAGCTTTGATCAGCACATACATAGAAACGAAGTTACCTCTTAGATATGAGAGTTCCATCGTTTATGAATATAAAGGATAATGTTAAGGTCTTGGGACGTTGGTCAATCCCGACTGAGCGGTGAGCCCCCGCTTTCGACTTTTACTCAGAATCGCAGCGGCGAATTGCATGCGATGTAGACTATTCAATGACTTGCGGTGACCAGCCAATGTACAAATCAGTGCCTTTATCCTCCCAGACGAGTCTGGTATTAATTAACCAACCCCGGAGGGATGGAAGGACTGGTTGGATTAGGCGGATATAGATCTGGGATTAGAACCTGGGAACATGCGTGTTTGAAGTGCGCCACTTTCTACTACACTACTATTCGACCTTACTGTCGGACGACGCGTGGAAGTCTGCGCCCGCGCAGTAGGGTCGGCAGAGTACTGTATCCCTCTTCTTGAAGGCTATTCCTGATTGATATCTTCTGCTCTTAGTGACTGAGGTTAAACCCTGAAATCAGTCGTAATCATCGAAACCTTTATACTAAGCCACCCGATGACTAATGTTAAGTTCAGTCCCCGTCCGTTCCCTTACTGACTATTCTAGTCGCTAACCATTACGCCTCGTTATCACAGTTCTAGCGTTCATCATACAACTCAATCGATATGCAATTATTAATTTTGGCATGATTCTAATGATAGTTCCTTTGTTCCTGTATTTCTTCGTTGCTGCTGCATTCTGCTACATTCTTTCACGCGTGGCATCTCTCCCACCGCAACGCGACAGTTTCGATCCTACTGCACCACTTCCATATTACTATACTCTTTGTTTGGACTTTAGGACTGAAGTCTAAAACGAGGAATCAAAACACCTTGCTACTTGCGGTCCGATGACTTGCACCCTCAGTGAACTCCCCCGTGCCATTGCGCCTCCGAGAGAGCAAATCTAGTTCGGTTATCATAACTGCCGTGAAGGTGACGTCAGGCCGAGGAAAACATATCTTGAGCGGCAACCAACTTTCGCAACGGCAGCAAATGGTATGATGCCGCTCATTGCACGACTACCAGTAATTTTAGCCGTAGAGACAAGTAATTGGATCAAATTGAGCTTCAGATCGACGTATGTATCTCCCTCACCATTATATCATGCTATAATATTTTTAAAGCAGTCAAGTCGCCCCGCTAACCTTTTTGGACATGACATTTGACAGAGGACCAACAGGGCATGGAGATGGTATTCAAAATGTGCCGATTCTTAGACCTGTTATTAGAAGTGCCGATCTGTTTCTGTTCATCTTAAAAGGTCAAAGTGGTGGGCAACCAAAGCCTTGAGTGGGTCTCACAAATGTTGTCGATCATAATAACAACATTATCACATTTATTTATAGGAAGCTCCTTCCTCTCAAGATATATCATTAGATGAGAATACAAAATTATTAGCGGTCGGTCAGAGCCCATCAAGCTAGATCGTAACAAAGGCGTTGAGATTTAATTGGTGAGTGGTGAGTCTTTAATACCTCTTCTATCGTCAGCGCTCCCACCCACCCTGCCTCCTGTGCCCCACCAGTTTTGAACATCTCCAAGTCTCCATGTCCACGGGAGCAGGATTGTGAATTTCCGCTCAAACATTTATAACGCGCAAACCCGCTCTCTGCGCGCGGAGTCGTATCCTCCCGAGCACTATTAGTGTTCCCATCCTGCCGCCTGTACTACTACCAAATTTGAACGCTCCTGCTCCAAATTGACAACCTTAACGCAAACTCGATCCTTGCGGGCGGAGTCTGGTCCTGCCACATACCATAAGTGCTGCTATCCTGCCTCCTGTAGTCCTACCAAGTTCGAACGCTCTAGATCCACGGGAACATTAGTTATAAGTTTCCGATCGCACAATTCAGACATTAGCGCGCTATTCATGACTAGGATCACATGGAGAGATGCAGAGGGACATACCAGGGACAGGGACACCAAGAGCATGCAATTTTGTTATACCAGGGACATGCAATTATTCGGCTAACAATAAGTCTTAAGAGGGAAAAAACACCGGTGTGGGCGCGTTTCCAATTTTTATACAATGTAATCGTCTCATTTATTCCGATGCTCCTACCCCCTATACCCCAAGGCTGAAAATAAAATAGTAAATAAAGAATAATAAATAAAACAAAACATGAATATAATAAAAGCTCACAGATGGCCGGTGCCCATCCCTTTCTTCGTCTATGATGCAGGGCTACTATGATAAGGATCATGCGTAACACTAGGTCAATCTCTTGTTATACTAACACTATTATGGGTGTCGTACACCTAGCTACTTTTTCAACGCCAAATGCGGCACTGCATAGGTGAACTGTGTGTACTAGGGTTGCCTTTTATATTTTGAGATTTGGCAAGACTAGTGTAGCAATCTAGCAACTGACACCACTATCGTAAAGTTTGACTATTTTTAGGTTACGTTGCGAAATTTGAGATTGAAATTTTATTTGTTTTGTTTACACTAAGTCATAAGATTTTGTTTAGGCCAGGTTATGGGGTAGAACCGTGAGCATTTTCGCGCGACTATTTTCCTCAAATTTCGACGTGGACTATTTCAACAACAATGCACGGATGAACTCAGTTCAATTTTTGGTGATGAGGCTTCATCCAAGACCAGTGTTTATCGATGGTACAGTGAGTTCACCCGAGGTCGTAGCTCACTCGAAGAAGAATTTCGTGGAGGTGGTCCAAAATCAGTTGTTGTTCCGGAAACCGTTGATACTGTGCACAAACAAATATTGCAAGAGAGTCATGTGGCCTATCGTGAGATTGGGACAACCTTAGGCATTAGTGGGACCAGCATCTATTCAATTTTGCATGAACGTTTGACTGTAAAAAAATTGTTTTTGAAAAATTTGTCGATCCTCCAGAAAAGGGACTCGCGTCGATTGATCGAAAGAAATGCTCAAAAAATACGATCGCGGTGCTTCGAAACACGTCTATAGCATCGAAACAGATGACGGATCATGTATTTCTGCGTATGAGCCCGAAAGGAAACAACAGTCGACCGTATGGGTATTCCAAGATGAGCCACATCCAACAAAAGCCGTCCGCGCACCAGGCACTTACGAGAAATCGACCTACTGTTTCTTTGGAAAAACTGGACATGTCGCAACCGTACCACTAGGACAAGCAGAACAGTTAATTCTGAGTGGTATACCACCATTTGTTTGTCAGTTGACTTTCAAAAAATCAGGGAAAAAAATTGCTGCAGACGGAACACTCTTCACCCCGACAATGCGAGCTCCCACACATCGGCTCAAACAACTCCATTTTTGAGCACTCAAAACAACGATTTGACAGGTCATAAGCCATGTAGCCCCCGGGTGACTTCTTCTCATCCCGTACNTAAAAAATAAAATGGGAAGTCAACGTTTTTCGACACCTGAAGAAGCCGTTGATGCGTTCAGAATCCATGTTTTAGAGTTACCTACATCAGAGTGGCAAAAGTGCTTCGAAAATTGGTACGAGCCCATACAAAAGTATATAGATCTTAATGTGGAGATTTTTGAAAGGCAGTAAACCGGTTTTCAATAAATAGTATTTGTTTCGGTTCTCGAATCTCAAAATATAAAAGGCAACCTACGTATCACAATAACATTGGAACCACGTAAATTCATGATGCTTCGCAAGGTCCTTCTGCAAACTTCTTATTACATGAATCCTTTGGGCCACCTGCCTGGTTCACGCGTGCACTCACATGAATTGTTCCCATTTGAGCGGCCCACAGTGCCACCCCGTGCATCACTGTCTGTAACTTCTCCTCCTTGAAGACTATCACCAACTGGAAATCAAGTGACACCAAACGACAGCGGCACGAGCAAATGTCGTGATATAGGAAGGCTACAGTTCTTTCTGCAGGGCCTAACGTGTCCGCCGAGCCTCGTAATTAGCGGAGAGTATTAGGCCGATGGGGTGTCGAGTAAGTTCAGCAATAGAAACCGATAGAAGCGATAAAAATAGGTAACGAAAAACGTTTTCAAGTGGAAGAGACTGTTCCCTCATAGATCACAATAAAATTCTTATCACAGAAAAGACGTTGGACGTATATCTCAATAATTCATGGAGGCGTCCTGCTGTGAGCCATAGTCGAATGATTAGGGAAAGTTTGATTGGTGACAGGATCGTTTCAGGGATCCATCGGGATCCGGAATCCACAACACGGTCTCATCGAATACAATCCGGGTGAAAGTATGGTTGATACTTTTCCTTATCAACACCGCATCGTAGACTGAACTGCTACTACATATGTATCGTAACCATAAGTGGCAAGCAGCCTGTCCCACTTTTCTTATTGTTTTTCTCACGCGGTTCGAGTAGTACGTGATACGCCGCCGACCTTATCCCACCGTCACTATGGCCTTACGGGTGTGATACTTGCGAAGGGAGAGATTTGAATTTCCAGGGGGGACTACGACAGTTGAAACGAAACCATAGACGCTTGCCGAGTGGTTTCAGCTACAACGTCTGCCGATCCACATCAGTGATTCGAGCCCGCACTCCAACCATCGAGGAGTGTGGGTTTAGCCAGGTCATCCGAAGTGCTCAAGAGATTATCGTGCATCTGATGAACCGTAACGATTGTCAACTATATCGACGTGCTAGGCTGGGTTGAATTGATCGATCAGAAACATAAACCAGAACTGCAATGGATATGTAATCTCTATCCGGTGTGAAGTTCGGATTAGACTTCGGTTTTGTGACGTGTTCCCTCCGATTGTATTTTTCGAAACATCTGGTCCATTACTTTTTACAGTGAACGTGCTCTCCACCTATTCCTTGATGAGATGATGTGACAGAATTGCTCTGTTTCTCCACGAACGCTAGATTTAATCGATCCCAGCCTTGATTGATCCGTTGACCTGTCAAGATATATCTGTTTATCAAGATCTGTTAATATAAGTGTATCAATTCAACTCGTCAAGACCCACCAGCGAGGCTGTTGCAGGAAATGGACGCGTTATACAGAATATATCGTGACGACATGAATTGAATAGTGTCTGCAGCATTGCACTATCTTCCCCGAAACCCGGCATATGGTCGATTCGGCTTTTCTGGGAAGGGCCCATCACGAAGCTTAGCGAGAAGATTACTTCTACCCATACTTCAATAGAGATAATAGCTAGATATATTCTGACAAGCTGAATGGAATAGTGCTGGCGTAATTACTCTGTCAAGCCCAGAACTCGATATGCAATAGACCTTTGTTTTCGATTGCTTAGAAGGGAACATTTCGCAGAAATGACTGTATAAAATAAGCAATGAACAAGTTTCTACGGGCGGTTTAGTGGCTTTACTGACTGCGGTGATGTTGGAATAAAATGAAACAAGTATGTGCCCTAAAATTCTATAGATAAGAGCGGTTTGATTTACCGGCGAAAAATGAATTGGAAAAAATTGAAATTGAATGCAGTCACCCCTCTAACTTGATGGATGGATAAATAAAAATCGGANTCAACTCTAGACCCCGCCCACTTAATGAACAATTCATATAGAAAAATAGCGATTTTAGGGGACCCTCTTATCTATGGACCGCTCTTATCTATGGAATTTTAGGGTAAATTGTAAATGCGGGACGTTACCGCAATGAAAATAGAATAGTGATAAGCAAGTATTTATCAAGGATGGCACACTACCTACTCTTGACGTTGTTCGAGGAAGCAAGCCGGACCTACTTATCATGGGTCCGCCTGACCCCGCACCTTTTACGGGGGAGGGTGGGCTAAGTTAAGGCCGTCAACAGACGCGAAATGACGAGATATTTGTATGGGATTGTCGCCGTAGACGACGATAAATTTTCCCAGATCACTTCTAACGAGTTGAAACGAATTGTGCTTACAGACCGTCTATCATGTCATTGAGTTATGTTTCCCAATTAATTCTACTTGGTCCATATGAGGACGCAAAGAAATTAAGAAGTAGCAAAAATAAGGGGGATGACATGTCATTTACTTCAGCCTCCAGAAACAGTGCGGAGTTCATTGTATGCCATTTCTTTATTTCGGTGTTTCTGAGACGCTATCAGTCCTCCAAATCGCGATCGCGGTTTGATTGGTTCGCCAGCTATCTCACACATATACAACCCCTTTTTGTCCAACTTTGATCTAGGTTGCCGCACGTTGATTCCGCGAGGAATTTCGATGTTTGTGAAGTGCAAAGCATATCTTAAGATTCAGGTTGCCGAGCTGGAATCCACACTTGCAGAAATGACAAATGGCGCCAGATACTTACATACGGAATGCCTCATTCTCATTTCTGCCCCACATTTCTCATTTCTCATCATAGTGGCCCCACATCTTGGTTTGAAGAAAAATTTCAGGGAAATGGACCTTACTCCGTGTTAGGCATTCCGTATGTAATATTTAATATAGGCTGGAAGAGGATCCGATGAAAAGATTACACCTTTTTTAGGGTTATCGCCTATTCAACGAAAAGGTTGGCCCCATAATACCGACCAAAATGTACAAATCAGCAATAATGGAACGCAGGGAGCAAGATGGTAGGCTATTAGAATTTGTCAAGCCACGCGGTCAGGGCAATCCAAATCAGAAGTCATACCAGTGAGAGAACTCCTGATCTTCTCGAGTGAATCCTGACCTTAACGATGATATAGGCTATGCTGGCTAGAAATAACAAGGTCAGCAGTGAGTATAAAGCAGTGAGTTCCTGCGGCGAGAGAACGGCTGAAAGGCAGAGTAGCAATTAAGCCATAGGACACTTCACAAATTTTACCTGTATTCTTCTCAGTTAGATGTTCACTATCATCGCTGTCCAAGTTTGGAAGTTTCATGTTCTAAAATAAGCTAATGTGGAAAAGAGGTTGAAAAAGAGGGAGAGAGACAAGTGCGACTAGGGTCAAGGGTACAAATAGAGAAATCATCAAAATTTGGTCAAGAATAGTGCACATTCACAACAGTGTTAGCTCTCGTGATATGGCTGTACGTGGCTGGTCTACTTTACTCCGAATCCCTTAACTACTACAGGGCGTCCCAAAATTATGGGTGCCAAATCATAGAGATATATTTTAAGTTCCTCTGGTGCGAAAAACGATGGAATTTCTATGCACGTTAGCTTATACTATTTGCTACAACATGCTAAAATCACATTTCAAAATACCCCCCCATTATTGCTCGACCTGATCATGTGTGTGCCGATGCGCGTGTTGCACGCAAGTATCCTTCTCCATTTCTTCTCATCTGTTCTTCACTCTTGTTCTCTAGGACTCCAAACTGGGACTGCAAACTCGACTAGTTCTCTTTTAATCAGTGACCACAGGGGTAGTCAAGTGAGCCAAATTCTGGAAAATAGGATGACCATTACTTTTTACCGATGAAGTCGGGCAGCTGTCGTCGGCACCACTCGCAGGCAAGCTTGGCTCAGTGGGCTGGAGTAGCGTCCTGCTGGGAGGACTACGAGATGTTTAAGAAACGTAGTCGGACCAGTGCTTTATTACGTCCAGCAGTACGTTCCTTGGGTACTGGTCTTGGTCAATTTTCATGCCGGCGCTGAAGAAACCACGAGCGTCTTACCTTTGCCAGTGACTTCTTCAAATGACATCATTTTACTGTTCTTTTAGCAACCTTTTTGTGGAACCACGTAAGATGTTTCTTTCCGGAACACGAACGTTTTGGTTGTTGAGGGATGGCTTTATCGCAAAAAAATTTTTTGGTCAGAGAAAACGATGAAGGGTTGCGTGTCACCACTTTCGACTTTCTGCATTTTTTGGTCTTGCAGTGTCTGCCGTGCCTGTCGACTTCCTTTTAAGGGTCACCCAGGATCCCGACCGACTGGCAGACGGACTATTTTGATAGCCTTAATTTCAGAAACATTGGCTTTTCTACATTCCCTGGTTTGTTTCTGATTCAATCTTCCTTTCTATATCGTTTGATAACCCCCCCCCCCCATTGTTATAAAAATCCCAGAATTTCATATGCCCTTCTACCTTTCGCATGTCAATGGTTGCAAGAGGCATTGAATGAGCCTCCTACAGCTAAAAGATATCAGGAGTTCCACATCAATAACCATGCATATTGTAAGGAATCCTTCTTATGTAACTAAATGATAGCAGTTAATGTGAATTTGATAGATTATTTCTACCTTGGAAATTTCGAATTTTGGCGCCCATAATTTTGGGACACCCTGTACATCTACACCTGCATTGGATTGATCCCATAGAATGGATTGATACTTGAACTCAGTTGAGCATATTTTACTCACGCAGGCTGGAAAAAAATGGTGAAGTTTTTGACTCGTTGGTAGAAGCTCTCTTTTAACACACGTGGACATCCTGTGGTTTCACTGTCTTACATATAAAAATCCTGAACAATTCTCTACTGATAAACCTTTCAATTTCTGAAGCATCTGTTCTCAAGAATCCCAGTGAGCGTAAAATATTATGGAGGCACATATTTGGCCCTACTTGGGAATTAGAAAACTTAACTAATATAAACTGAGAAGACCGAGATGGCAGAGAACCAACTCCTCTATTCCTTCAGTGTTGGCTAATTGGCATCGGATTCCTTTGGAAACTTCATTCTATCGGCTTACAAATGGATTACTGAATCAACTGTATCACCTCTCGTTTGGCATCGATTTCCTCGAGCGCCAGTAACTTCCCCATTCGTCCCATTCATGAGCTAGAGTGGTCCAGTCCAAATAATTCTGACCATCGCGCCGGCGGCCGTCCTGTTGTTCGTTTGAGGTACCGAGCGATCCAGTCAGTAATCGCCTCGGTCCAACGATTATCACGATATTACATAGCGTATGCAACTCTAGTCGTCTTCAATTTCTTGACGAAAAGCAATTGTATCCCTGATCTTCGTTAGTTGGCTGAGGTCACAACTCCGTATCCCCTTCCGCATTTGCGTTCATTGGAGGATTCCGACCATCATCCTTTCCCAAGCGCGTTGGGTAACGCTGCCAGCATGTTCATCCTGAGAGAGTCCAACTCCCAGAGGAGTACGCCAAAGCAGGAAGGACTGCAGTGTTGAAAAGGTGAGCGCAGATGCGGATGTTGTCTTACTCTCTCACTATTCCTACACTCTCCCCACACGGCGCGTTTTCCTCTGCTTTGTTCCGGAGCTAGGTCGTTCGTCATGTTGACTTCTCGACCTATTTACACGTAGCTTAAGGCTCAGAGATACTGGTATCGTTCAACATATCTTCGTTTCTCATGAACATCGTCTCCGTTAAGTTCAGACTTGAGGCGTTCTTTTTAAAATCGCTGTCTAATTGGCTACCATTCGTTCCCCTGCTCGATATTCGTTGATATTAGCACGATGTCGCCTGCAAAGCGGACATTATGCAAGCGGCAGTCGTCCTTCACTCCTAAGTCATCTCATTTCATGATATTCTCCGGAGCGTCAATGAAAAGTTTGGGCGAAATGTTATCGCCCTAGCGAACCCCTCTCTTCTCGTTGACAATGATTTCGTTATATAGAATGGCGAAATCATGGTCGTGAAGTTTACGTAAATCTCTTGAGGCATTCTTATGTATTGAGTAGAACGCCTTGGATGCCCAGGTCTTCATTGACCGCTTCTTCCGTTAGACTATGAAAGGGTTTCAATCACCGCTTCTGTCTCGAGTCTGTCGAAGGCCTTCTTCAGAACCATGAGCGTCAGAGATAACGACATCCTGTATTATCGCGACACTTCAATGAGTCTTGTGGCGATGAAGATGTGAACGATTCTACTAAACCATCTCCGAGACCCTGCTTCCTCGCATGGCTTTCTTTGATCTGGGCTTCTGTCAATCCTCTTCAGGATGACGGGTGTGAAAACTTGTAGATTACAGAGAGCGGGCAGATTTAGTTATTACTGCCAACATCGTTGAGATTTCCCTTCTTATTGAGCGACACACTCTTGCTCGTTTTCCACGACGTGGGCGCTTTTTATTCCGATAGGTACCGCGTGGGGAGCCTAGCCAGAAATCTGACGATGACTGGTGAAAGACTCTTAAGATATTTTGGTTTGATCCTATCGGGACCGGGCGCCGTACAGTTCTTCATCGACGTGGTGGCATGTCGAATTTCGGAAGGTAGAAGTGAAGGAGAGATATATTCGACTTGCCTAAGATGGTGGGTAGGCAGGTAAACGCGACTTTCGAAGAGATCCGACCAGAATTGTGGGCGACTTTCTCCATTGCCCTCCGAGATATTCCGTGAGGACGACGGAGGGGAGTCACGAAGCCCGCCCTCCGAGATGTTCCGTCAAGACGACGCAGGGAAGTCACGAAGCCCCGGCGGGCTTGCGAATGCTCTTCACAGCCTCGGCTGCTTCGATCGAAACTGCTGCTCTCCTCTCTTTCAGATCTTCCTTTATCGCTTCTCTGCGTAGCTTCACAAATTCGGATATCAGCTGGTTGTTACCTGCAGCTTGTGCGACTCCACGCTGGCGTATCAGCACGAGTCTCCAAAGAGAGGCGCCCCTGGCATCTTTGGGAGGCTCTGCTTTCCCAACAATATCGTGAAAATGTTCGACGAGCCGGTTGCATTCTTCATCGATGTTGCCGGAATGGAATCTCTCCAGGACTAGCAAGGGAAGCGAGGTAGTCCTGGTTGATGAAGGTCCTGCGGCTTCGTTTTCTGCAGTTCACGGCTCTCTCTCCAGGCACGGTGAAACGGAGGGGAGAGATGGCTAAATCCCATTTAGAATTTTGAAACAACAACGATGAAAGTCAAGCAAATTTCCCGATCGAAACGGATGTGTTCTATCTCGTTATGGCTTGTCCACCAGTCCCCCAGGTGACTCCTAGTGAGTCGGCATGATGAACTCGGGCAATCTTCCTCCTTGCTCATGCCATTTCGTTCTGTGAGTCTCGATATGTTGCTCTTCATCCGTTCTTTTGGGCCAATCTTGACTTTGAAATTGCCGACGACGACCTCGAAGAAAGTGTGATCTTTTCTGTAAAGCCTGTCCATCTCCATGTGAAACACTTCCAGCTCCTCTTCTTCGCAGCTCGATGCTGGTGCGTAAGCAATTGTTAGAGCTGAGGTTGAGCCAAATCTTCTTGATCCAAACGTCTGATACGTGTTGTCAAGCTTTCGTACGAATCGATGTTCATTTCCAAGTACGAGGACACCTACGCCGAAGATGCCTCTGCTGTCGCCTTTTCTAAGGGACAGCTCTTCTCCATCCTGGAATGCGGCGTGCAGCGGACGATGCCCTTTCGTCTTGGACGGAACGACGATATCGTTCTTGATCATCCTAGCTTGCAGCATCAGATCTTCGATACACTCCCGATGCAAGTGTTCGTGCCTTAAAAGTACAGGTCGCCATCTTAGTCCTTCTCCTTCTGGGCAGTTTATTATGGCTTGAAATTTTAGCAAGCTCTGTCGAGCGGTCCTACTCAACGCTGCCGTAATGGGGCTCAATCAGGTTCAGGGGAATGAGACCCATTTATATTACTGTTTTTGGCATATGGGTACCCACCAGAAGCTTGCCAGAACGTCAGCATGGGGCTGGTTTGAGATTGACTCCGGGTAGTTAGCCAGGCCAGCCAGAGCGGGCAAAGGGCGCTGGTTTTAAAGGCGGCTCCAAATCGACTCCCTGTTACTTCACTCGAATGCGAGCTTTTGGCTGACATGAGTCTGAGGGCGGGTTAACAACTGCATCAGCAGATTCTCCACACACGTATGCGTGCATATATCTGCAAAATTAAAAGGTATTCTACCCAGCACAGCAGGAAAAGGGAGACCATCCCATAAATCCACTTGCGTCCATGGGCAAGTACCGGCGTCTTTTGGTCGGCGATTTAGGCTACTGTCCGCCACCTGGGGACGCCTTACGTAGCCTCGTCTCTAACCGGCTGGAATCCTTCACTAAGAGAACCCCCAGAGGAGAGATCCAAGATATCCGAATAATAAGTCGAAATATTGAGGCCTAATTATAAATGAGTCTTTAAACGCTGAATGATCTTGAACAGAAGTCGACTGCTACTGTGCAACACAAAATGAGATTGATTAGCGCCGGAAAAAAAATTTATACTCTAATCTCCGTGGTAGTTAGGGGAAAGTGCACGCTTTGAGAGGACTACATTCTAATAAAGACGCTCGAATGTTATGTTTCGCTTACCTAATGCAATGTTACATTGATGTGAGGAAAGCACAACCGTAGTTCCAACCATAAAGCCATGACCTAATTCTGGCTTTCTTGCAGTAGCGCTCAAAAGTCTTCGGCCAAATGCTTTTTCAGCCGCACTTTTCAGTCGTAACAACTTTCCTGCTGCATCTAATCACGCGAACTTTCGGTATATGTAGCATGGGTGTGTTAAGAATATTTACTACTGTAAACCCACCATCTGATCATGTTTCAGAAATCCCAGAGGGCTTGAACTAAAAATCAACTGGAATTATGAATGCTGGTCCTTCTGGATCTTCTCTCCTTTCTACGATGTCTTAAATGTACGAGCGCTAAGGCCGAACACAGTCGAGGATAAAAATGCACATGAGGTGCTGATAACTGCAGATGTTAACTTTTTTAGCGAATTCTGCTACCGCAAAAAAGCACCTCCCATTAGTTACGTGGATATTGCTGCTTTGCAGTCAAATAGTGTTATATAGTGTGAAATATGCTTAAAACTAAAACATCAAAATTTAGCGCGGTTTGCTTCACTGAGAAAAAAGTTATGATCAAAAAGCGGAAAAGCGTTTGGCCGAAGACTTTTGAGCGTCACTGTATGTGTGTGTGCAAAAGATATAGTGGAACGTACTATCTTAACAACAGTAGAGGCTACAAATTTCACATGATCAGGGAGATGCAAAGTTTACAGGGTTCAGAGAGCTGTGCATTCGTCCGTTGGTTAAATTCACGGTTCACGATAAAAAATGTTACTCAGTTCTTCCTTCAGGAATACTCATGGGTGATAGGAGGGGCCCTCTCGCTCCCACAATCTCGGCGCTTAGGGCATAGTGGAAGCCGTGTTGCTGCCGTAATTAGCTTTAACGCCCCTCGATCGATGTCACGTTAGACGAGTGTCGAAGCAATACAGATTGCAACTATTCTTTCTAGGACCCACACACAATCAGCTGATCGCCGAGTGATGAGGCGATGTTTTTCTTCCATTCTTTTTCCCTCTGTTATTCTTTTTGCTGCCGCAATCCCTTATTTATTTCCTACTCCTAGAGGCTCA